GTTGAAATAGGTGCCCGATATACTGCAACAAAGTCTCGCTAACCTTAAATGTGGGTGGACGGTGCTGTGCAGTCAATGAAATGCAGATTCGTTAATGAAAAAATGAGACAGGAAGGCCAATCATTTCATTCCTTTTGATATTTATTGCGATGATATCGGTGAGATATGGCTAAACCCTAGGATTTCCAGCAATAACTTGTCGGAACCGTCTGTTTGGGATGCGCTAAAAATTGAAATTTTTGAGATTCAGCACTTTTCCGGCAGTAATTCGATTTTTAATTTAAGACCTCTTATAGAGACAGTGCTTCATCGCATTCTCAGCATATTTGTAAGGCAATTCATTCTCGTATCATTGGTGTTTCTTTTGTAAATGTGCAATCTAGGAAAATGTTCCTTTTCGTGCATTCTGACGTGGAATTCGGAAATTGTGAGTTTTGCTCAATCCTTTATTGTAGTATAGGTAAACGGCATGGCCGTGGACGCATTGGTGGAATCGATCACCACCTATTGCAGTCGACCTATTTGGGCTCATCTGTATGCAACTCCTTTTGCAGGTAAACTTTATCGTTTTAATATTGCTTATTGATTTTGAAAAATTCTGCTTTAGTGTTGTATGCTAGTTGGTTCTATATCTGGTCATCAGCATACGGATACGAGGAATACTACGAGCTCGGACTTATCGGTGCTGCTATCATAGGACTACTTCAAGCATTAGTAATTCTGTTCAGCCACTGGTTTGTCGGGGTAAAATGCGCTCTGTCCTGCGTCTATGTAAGTTTGCTTTTGCTACCATTCATTTCCCATGTAATTTTTTCGTTACCTAGGAAAAAGACCCTCACAAGGCTACTTTGGTCAAGGTAGTACCTACTCCCAACAATGGTTGGGCGGAGCTCGTACCACTTCGGAGGACTAGGGTGATTGGTCCGCTTTTTCTCCAGTTCATCTCCATGGCTTATATTCATGTTCAGAGAGCTGGTTGTACGAAAGTGTGGTTTGAATTCCAAAAAATTCACTACACTTTGGATCCGGAGACGAACACCTTCAGTACTGTTGTGTTTGACTCTCATCGACCAATGAAATACTACCAACAGTCTCGAGGTGTGGAGAGCGATGAGCAGTTAGAAGAGACGAAGTATCTTTATGGAGA